ATTTGAACTAGCCCCCTGCTTCAAATAGGATGCTTTGCTCACTTGTGCAATGAGTAAAGGGTGTGTAACACACAGGAGTTTCTTCAGTGTGTTAGGCTGGGAGTATTTTTGCAGAAACTCACTGATTTGTTTCTGAAATATTTTTAAGAGCCTTTGAGTTCCCAGAACTACAGTTGCCAGCTCTGAGGAAGGGAATATTCTCTCCTACTGGCCCCCTGCTTCAAATAGGATGCTTTGCTCACTTGTGCAATGAGTAAAGGGTGTGTAACACACAGGAGTTTCTTCAGTGTGTTAGGCTGGGAGTATTTTTGCAGAAACTCACTGATTTGTTTCTGAAATATTTTTAAGAGCCTTTGAGTTCCCAGAACTACAGTTGCCAGCTCTGAGGAAGGGAATATTCTCTCCTACTGCTTTTCAGCACTGAAAAAAACCCCAAATAATCAGATCTTAAGAGCCAACTAGAAGGTATTAGAAAAAAAAAAAAAATCTCAGCAGATTGTTTTACGGAACTGGATTTTGTAAGGTAACCCATCAACCCTGAAAATTTTAGACACCCAGAATTTACTCCAAGGAATAAAATCAGCTCCTAGCACTCAGTCATCCAAAGTTTCTAGTTCCTCATGCTTCCCATGGGAGTTTGCTTCTTGGAAGAACTCTGAAGAGCCTGGACTCTCTTTTCCATTGCTGTTAATTCTTCTTCTTTTAAGAGGTCTTTCATTTTTTTCTTCAAAATCGTTTTCATTTCTTGAAGCTGAATGAGCAAGTTTGGGGTCAATGGAAAGGTTTTCAGTTTCATACCCATTTGTATCCAGCTCCGTGTGAGGTGTTTTCTTGCCACTGGTAGGTCCATTTACATGCAATCCTTCGATTTTTGTTTCATCTTTATTTGGTATCTCACCTGGCCCGTTGGCAGACACCCCTGCGTTACAGAGACATGCCATAAGGAAGAGAACAGAAGTGTAAGCAGTACCAGAACAATCTGTGGCAGGTTGTTCAGTTGTGTCAGACTAACTAAAAAGCCAATATTCTTCTCCGTATCCTCACTGTGTGATGAACAAGTGATTTATTTGCATACGAACGACAAACTTACCACGACCGAGTTTATGGAAGCCCTTACGGGCAACTACAGCCAAGAAAATGTCCTGGAATCCCACAACTGCACAAATTGCAGGTGGGCTGTCCTCACCTGAACACTTTCTGCTTGATTTTCACAATCTGATTCAGCCCTCAAGCTCCTCTCTCCTCTTGCTACTGCTTCCACTCGGCTCCTTCGGAACGGCTGCCCCTCGCTTTTGAGGTTCTCTTCCTTCAGGAGCGATCATTTCCTGGCTCTTCTCCCATTCCTAACTGCCCTTCAGTGCCCCATGGCTGGCAAGAACAGCTAACAGTGGCCCTGAGACAAGCACTGGGAAGCACTGGTGTGCTGTGCGATAGCCCCGTTGCCATCTCAGTTGCCCGGCACTCCTCACCATTGCACACCTCCACTAGCATGGGGAAGACAGTAACAGATGGTTTACACTGAAAAGGGAGAGCCTAGTGGAGCTTCATCTTCAATATGTGACTCCTGGCTAAATGCAAAGGTAGAATTTTTTGAAGACATTTTTAACTTCGAGCTGCTAACACCTTGGAAAACATTTAAAACTAAAACAGACTGGTTTTTAGGGAGGCAAGCTGAACTTCTCATTTGGCTTGTCACCTGCGACGATTTGGCCACGCTGTTTAGGAGGGACAGGGCACACACTTACCGTTCTGATTACTGTTGCTGGTTGTGCTGTCTTCCCTTTCAGACTGGCTGGTGCTGCTGTTGGAAGTTGTAGGAGGAGGGGACGGAGCTCTACTGGAAGCAGCACTTTCACTCTCATCCAGGAGACGGTCCATATAATCTCTACACAACAGAAACAGCCCATTCAGCACTGCCCTTACTGTGTCCAGTACTGGTGGTGGTTGTACAAAAACATTCACTGCACGCGCTGCGAGTGTGCCCAGTTCACATTTTGCTTCTTTTGAACTGCTCAGACTTATCTTGCAAAGCGAACGACTTTACGATCTCCCGCGTTAACTGGCCCACGCACGGTTTGTCCACAGCAACTACCACTGCAGCCAGTTTATAGAAATTCAGCCTGTGCTTACGCCCAGTCCCATAAGACCATGCACAAGCAGGAACTTCAGCATGCTGTGATGTTGTGTATTGAGTTTTCGAGGTGATGCCCTCAGGCAGGTTCGTACTAAGGTGTTGCAATTTGCTGCGGCAGCGATAACATACCGTTAAGTAAGTTTTGTGCACGTACAACCTCAAAAAGGGTAGTTAAAAGCAAATAAAAAACTTCAGAGTTGAAGATGTTTCTCTATTTGAAATCTCTTACAGTCATAGAATCATAGAACAGTTTGGGTTGGAAGGGACCTCAAAGATCATCCAGTTCCAACCCCCCTGCCACGGGCAGGGACACCCTCCACTACACCAGGTTGCCCAAAGCCCCATTCAACCTGGCCTTGGACACTGCCAGGGATGGGGCAGCCACAGCTTCTCTGGGCAACCTGGTCCAGTGCCTCAGCACCCTCTGAGTGAAAAATTTCTTCCTTATAGTCAATCTCTTATGAAAGATTTAAACAAAGCTGGTTGGTAAAGCCCTTGTACGTATGGTATTAGTCTGGATTAACTCCAGAAACAGCATATCCTCACACGTAATTATTCTGGAACTGATACTGCACTCTAAATTCCCACATCTATCTGAAAAATCATTCAAGAATAGATAAGTACAATCCTTAATGACACTTCTTCTGACACAGCTTTTGATCACCATATGCAGTCAACTGCAAAGGAATCAGAGAACGTTTTAAGTGATTAACAACAAAAAAGTCTACTAATTTGGGCAAAAATGGAAAAAAACACAGATGGGAGAAGAGAAGGAGATAGACAGTCCCTGACAACTGGTTAAGAAAATCCAGCAGCTCTGGGTGCTTCTCTGCAGCACTCTACTTTACGAAGTCACAGATGGCAACTCTTAATGTCACGCTGCAAGTTGACTTCAGTGGTCCAACACACAGTTCTAAAACGTTTAAAAAAACTGTAATATTAAAAAAGAAGGCTGAGCAGAGCAGCCAGGAACAAACGAGAAGAAAAAATTAACAGTAAAAAGACTTGGAGAACGTCAGCAGAAAGAATGGGACACTCAAATCCCAGCACTGGAATGAGGGGCAGGAGAACGTGTTGGCTCGCTGGCTCCGATCTGAGAGAGGAAAATACGCAGCCATGCACAGCCATCTCCCTCTTTGCCTAGCAGAGATGTGAATGGGGAAAGGAGCTATATTCCCCCCAAAAAAAGCCCTAGTACAGGGTCCTGCATTACCCAGAATTCAAAACCCAAACAAAACACTTCAAGAGCATACTGCAGCGTGCACCACAAATCCCACCTGCAACACACCACTCATGCTTTGGTATACGACACGCCTTTCAAGTGAAACAATCACTTAAAAATTTCCGTGGATTTGCAGAAGTGTTACATTTGTGAAACGTTTGAACAGAAAACAAACTAAAGTAAACAGCTGTTCAATGCAAATTGTTGGTCTTATTCCAAATAAACGTGGTTTGGAAATAACATCATACGTACTAGTAAGCTTTTCTTACACCTTGGCTGTTTTCCTGCTCCAAACCGGGACTATGGAATCCCTAGGTTGTCATTCCATTTCAGATTAGAGGAGTATAAAATAAAAACTCGGATCCAACATGTAAAAGCACATAAAATAATGCACATCTTACGTTACACCAGGATGAAGATTGTATTTCTTCTTTCCAAATCGGGTCTGCTGCGCAAAGAAATCGTAACGCTCCGATTTCTTCCACATGTAATAAAAGGCTACACACTCACCAACTGATCTCGTTCGTACCTAGGAAACACGTGCCACGCAAATTTTGATGAATTTAAACACGTTTTTTGGCAGAAAGCTGCCATTTAAATCAAAAGGTGTGAAATTCAATGCCAATACTTCTTTAGAGAACATAGGAAATACTGGAAACTATTGGCTCAAAATTTCAGAGGCCCAGAAATTGAAATGCAAATTTTCATAGGGTTTCTAGGAATACTGATATCGTGAGGTGCTGCAGGAGGAATATTTTAAGTCTGCCTCACCAGTCTATTCAAGCCCAGAGTATGCCTCCAGGGATGCAGACCTTCCCATATCTAAGCACAGCAGGATTTTTGCACTTTTCTAACTTCGAGTTCACACTTACAGAGGATTCTGGACTTTGAGAAACCAATTTGGACATCCATGTAGTAAAAATTAGAAGTAAATAGAGCAATTTGTGAAGGAAACCGAGGATGAGTAAGAATTTATTTATAATTACGTTGCTTTAAAAAAAATGTGAGAACTACACTTAAAATCAGCGCTTACCTTATTTGCCTGAATCACATGAAAATCCTTGCCATAGACTTTCAGCCCTTGTTCAAAGTTCCTACATTCTTCTTCTGTCCAAACAGATAATTCTTCTATAGCAAGGAAACACAATAAAGAAAACACTTAACAAAAAAGCCAATGAAAGAAAACTTGAGTGACAGAAAACATACGTGGTATTCAAGTTTCTTACACCACCTGCTGATTCATTGAGAACCACCTCCAGAAATTTCACTTACTAGTACAAAAATGACAATTCTCCCTTCTAGTGAGGAGGTGGGAAGCTTGGCTGCCTTAAGCATCCAGTCGGTAGGGACTGGTGTTACTGGTCCGTAAGCCCAGCCCTGCCACACGGGGGAAATAACGAGGCAGCGGAAAGAAGAAGAAGGGCTCAGAAACCTGGTCTCACCATTCTGCCCCTAGAACCACGGGAGGCAGGTATTCTTCACGCCAGGACACAGCACGAAGGAGTTCATGCTATGGACTCAAACTGGTTGCTGGTATTTGGAAGAGGCAGGGGAAAAGGAATCATAGAATCACAGAATGGTTTGGGTTGGAAGGGACCTCAAAGATCATCCAGTTCCAACCCCCCTGCCATGGGCAGGGACACCCTCCACTACACCAGGTTGCCCAAAGCCTCATCCAACCTGGCCTTGAACACTTCCAGGGATGGGGCAGCCACAGCTTCTCTGGGCAACCTGTGCCAGTGCCTCACCACTCTCAGAGGGAAGAATTTCTTCCTTATATCTAATCTAAATCTCCCCTCTTTCAGTTTAAAGCCATTGTCCCGTGTCCTGTCACTACACACCCTTGCAAAAAGTCCCTCTCCAGGTTTCTTGTAGGCCCCCTTTAGGTACTGGAAGGCTGCAGAATGAGGAATGAGATTGTCTTCCCCACTGGCAAGAGCCAGCAATGACAGGCTGTTAATTCCAGCCAGGTAGAATAAGAAACTGGTGCTCACAGGATTGAAGGGCAATCTTGGCCCCGCTAGAGCCAGAATAAACCCCTAATAACTTGCAGCCACACTTCTAAGAACTTAATATAATTTGGCTTCACTGATTCTTAAGGTCACGAATAAACAGGGTTTAAACCAGTGGGAGAATAAACTGATCTTCTCTATTTGATCATTCTCGTCTTGTGATCTGCACAGTAAACTCTGGAGAAGCCACAGGTTTGAAAGCAGAACCAAGAGATCAACATGCAAAGAAAATAACTTGTGCCTTCTCTCAGTTTCTGGTTCCTTTGAGTATGAAGATCAACACCCAAACAGGAAACGCTTATGGCTCCAAAAGCACCTTCAAGACCAGGGTCTTTTTAGTGTTACACTTTGTTAAATGAAAGGTTTAGATGCTCAGCTCCTTTATTTAGAATTGTGAATGATTTTGTTCTACATTTCATGTTTGCTCCACTAACTGTGACGACCGCAAAGGTCTAGAAGAACAAAGAACGAAACGCCCAAGGAATGCACTATTCGGTTGCTGAGAAGTAATTTTAAATTTTAACTTGTTATTAAAGCCACAGATATAAACATCAAGCTCTGTTGACAGGGCCAATTAATTAACACGCCCTCTTTGACAATGTACCTGTTTATACTACCTCTTCTAATTTCATTTTCTCAAAGAACAACAAGAGACTCACTGAAGGCTGCATTTAAACGGACACCGGTACGTGCAGCTTATGCACAGTCAAGCTCTAATAAAATTTCTCAGCCTCCTGACAGCAAAACCCAACACCTCTGTAAAAAATAAAACGAGAGTTCAACAACACAAACTTAACTTTCAGTGTATGCTCACCTCTGGCTGCTTTTACATTAAATCTCAGCCTTCGTAATGATTCCTCAGTATCAAAATTGCACTTGACCAGTTCATACAACGCCTGGAAAGATGGAGACACACACATTTAACACTCTAGGCACCACTCAATTTATGTCGTGCCACAGAAGCATACTTAGTAAATCACTAATACTTATTAAGAAAAGATTAAAAATAAACTCTTTGAATTAATATAGTATAATTTAAGACAGTAATTTCCTCTGTTTGAATTTCCAAATCTCTAATTGTATAACCAAGAATATATCCAGGCAAAGTGTTTTAACATTTTCATCCACTGCGTACGTTTGTAAAATGGGACAGGGTTTTTTCCATATTAAGAAAAAAAAGAGTATGCATTCATATGGCTTCAAAAAAATCTCTAAGTGAAAGAACAGAACTCAGTCCTACACAATTACTTACACACAAAATAATGCAGTGATGCATAAAGCAACGTCACGCCTAAGTTAACAGTGTAATATCTGTTGAGGGATTAAAAACCTGTCCCACTTCTATTCGCACAAGGAATAATAAAACTGTTGCAAATACAATTTCAGTTCTTGGGAGTAAAATAAAATAAAGGGATAATTCATTCTGTAATATTAAACTACAAATTCTAATTATTCTTATATACCTGCTCATTGTCTTTAATATGCGATCCTTCGGGAATTGCATCCAGGCCTTTCTCATCACCCGTACGCCTCGACGCTTCATTCAGGAACTCGATCACTTTATCTTCTGGTAAGAAGTCAGGATTCCACAGCAGCTGGTCATCATTTTCATACACTGAATTAACCACAGGAAAAAGACAAGCAAACTGAAACAACAATAGAGAAGTTGGTTCTCTCTTATAACGCTAGTGATCGTGAAATCTTGGAAGATGATTAGAGCACCAAAATTAATCCAGAACACACGCAAGGGCAAGTGAAAGAGTCTGACCAACGACTAGGATGCTGTACCTTATATGATCTCTGTGCTCTAGATTCTAGGACCCATCCATGAAATTCCAGCGACTCCACCTTCCCTGTCCTCCTCCTGAAACCCCTTAAATCATGAGGATGCAGCCCCTGAGTGATGCATCCAGCATGCCTTTTCCCTAAGCAGCACAGTTTTGCAGCTGGCAGCCATCAGACATGGAAAACCATTTCAGAAGCTAATTGTATCTGTTTTCTTGCACGACGACTAGCAGCACTCGCATAAAACCAAAAAGCACACCACCAAAAACGGTGCTGAAAACACTACCAGGTCTCTGGACCACTAAATATAAAAGTCTCTGCTAACGTGGTTGGCAAAAGCCAGCAACAAGGTCCTCTGCTTCTCCAGGGAAGATGACACCCAGATGCCAGACATTCTGAAGTCCAACGGCTCCTGAAAGGAAACTTTCCTAAGACCTTCCTATTGCTTCCAAGAAATACTTTTTAAAACAAAATCATTCAGGTAAGGATCGCTGAATTTTAATACTACCAAATCTCTACTGTTGTTTCAGAGCTTTTGCATGAGCTTTCGGACCAGGGAAGCCACAGTAAACTGGAACTAATGGGAGAAATGTGGCCAAATGGTATTTCCTCTGAATTATCTCCCATTTTTCTTTTTGAAGAGCCTACAAGCTTTGCAGGATTAAAATACTAATACAGCAAAATAAAGTAAAATTCAAGTTATTAAAAAAACTAGAATCAGGAAAGTATCTAGACCTTGCCTGTGGCCCAGTCTTCCATGAAAGACAACCTTACAAAAACCAGCAAGACAGTAACTTCAGCATGGATTCCATTAGCTCGGGGAGCACCTTTGACAAGAGAAAGGAGCGAAGGCTTGGGAAAGCATGGTCGTCGCAGGAAGGGAAGATACAGGAGCATTCTGTGCAGGTGGAAAGGTCAGAGCGGTGGCTAGGTGCATCTCTACTTGAAAAAAAATGTTTTTAACATGAAAGTAGGCTATAAATAAAAAAAAATCAAAACTGGTAAGAAAAATTATTAAGTATCTTATAAAGACAGACAGCTTCATTCTACGAACGACACAGTCTTTGGAAACAGCTCCCAACAATTTCCTGGGAGCTTTTCTGTTTCGAAGGCTAGTCCTGATCTGATGCTTGGTTGCTCATTTAAGAAAAAGATTCTAGGTATCTTGGGATGCAAACTCCAGCAGAAGCAACAGTTCTTTTCAGGAGATAACTGATCATCAGTTCTAAGCCCCACGAGCTAAGTACACGGCGATGGTTGTGAACGACAGCGGTCAGTAAGCCTCAAAGCAGCCTCAGCACCTTTCAGTTTTCAGAGCTATCTTCCCATTTTCAAGTCCAAGCCTTCTGAAAACATATCTTTTAATCCTAGAGATTTTTCGGAACCTGAAATCATGCAGCAGCAGCTAATTGGGTCTCCAGGCATCCTTCTCCGAGAGCCAGCCCACTGTAATTCGCTTAGCGTGGATTACACGGTCATTCTTGCCTCACAACAGCATGTCAGGACACATTCTGAACAGCAACGTGGTTATTCCTAAGAGTTCCAGCATTTTTGTGCTTTTCCTTACAGCACTGGATCTGAAAGGCCTAACCCTCTCAGTGCTTAGGAATTTCACAAATAGAATTTCCTCTTCATTAGAAAACAACTACGATGGTGGGCTGTGTACATGAAAGTACTAAAGTCTCAAACATTTATTTTTCAACTTTTTAAGCTTCATTAATATTCCAGCTGGAGTCCTGTCAAAGATTACAGCCAAAACACAGCAGAAAGGAGAGAAGTGGCAGAAGACACAAAACCTCACTGGTATATCAAACTACGACAGCCCTAGAATGAGTAGTGAAAATTGAACTTTTCCCCTCAATGGCTTTTGCCCATGGCACAGGTTCTCTGTTCTGCAGAGAGCAGTGTGCAAGACAATGAAAAAATGGTTTATATAGGTTACTGCAATGCACAAAGCAGCTCTATTTTTTTTTATTATTGGAGGCCAGAAGTCATTTAGAGCTGAGTAAACACCAGGAAAAGCAGGTTCCCAGCAAAGCACAATTTCCTGCATCTCAGGTGAATATGTAGTTCAAGCTCTATTTTCAGACAGCAGCAGGAAAGCGTGCAAAGAGCAACCTCTTCACAGCTAAAAAGCAGATGTTTTCTAAATTGTTATTGTCTGTTTTTAATAGAAGCTCTTGAATTGACACATAGGGGTTTTTATTTTAAACCACATTCTCTTAAACCTCTCTCTGGCTACAAAACCCAGAGCTGACAGAACGTGTCAGCTTCAGTGTGAGCCTGCTCCAAGTCAACAGTAGGACTGATGCTCTTTAGACAGTTTCTAGCTACATCAGGCCACAGCGTAGCTACTACAACCTGTAGCTCGAAGCGAGACAGCTGCTACTACTGGAGTATATACTCGGATTCTAGGAAGGCACTGAGTTTGGTGCTGGTTGGTTTAAAAACTGACTTATCTAAAACCACAAAAGCTGCAGTCTCAAACTGACCTGCAGTGTAAATGAATTCTTAGCAATGGGCTGAATGAGCAGGAAAATTTGACTTTTTTAAGCTCCCAGCTGGGTTTAAACTGGGTCTACCTTTCCTGACTTGATTAAACTGACAGCATACAGCCAAAGGCTCTGGTTGTGAGGGAGGAAAAAGTTCCTAGAAAAAAACCCAGAAGTAGAACAAGAAGTTCTTTAATACTGTTTGAAGAGTTATCACATGTGAAAATCAAAGCTGCTGTACCATTTTGCGTCTTCTAACGTGTTAATCCGATTCCAGTGAAACAATTTCTTTATTATCTGCTTTGTTTTACACAAACTAAATATACTAGGTGAAGAGGTTAACATAAGCTACACAGAGAGCTCGTGCACATTACCAAATTAGAATACTAGGGTTCAAGAGGCAACAGGCCAGCAATATAATCTTTCTTTTCCCCTTTTCTTTCCCCTTCCAAGACTCAAGCTCTGATGGTCAAGTACAGGATGAACTACAGTTAGAAATGATGGTTCTGTTTTTCTCTTGAAGGAGTTCATTTATTTTGCAAGACACGTGACATCGACCAAACTTTTTTTTTTCTCTCCCCATTAGAAAATAATCTCAAACATAGTGATAATAGTGACAGTGCTCAGTCTCACCTTTTTCATTCTCTTTGTACTTGCATATGCCAGCTGGAATTTCAGCTTGAAACATAGAGCCCACCATGATTTCCTGTTTTGAAATAACACAAACAAGAAGTTAAGCAACCACAGTCGTGATGTTTTTTGTCAGCAAACAAGAGAATGACCACATCTTTTTTTACCCCTTAAAACTTTCGTTGTTCAAAACCTAAAAATACAGTTAACAGGCACTATATGGAAACAGATTTTTGATCATTTGGGGAGGTCTTTAATGCTTCTTACTATCAGAACTCTTACATTTATGGGGAAAAACTGGAGAGGATTTGGGTAATCTACAGATCTCAGAGTTACTAGGTAATAGATCGACTCATTATTCATGAAATTCAGGCTTTTTTAGCAACACTTAGTATTTACCTTTTTCCAGTCTTCTGAGGGAATATAATCTTCATCTTCTTCAGATTCCTCTTCTATTTCACTATCTACAAGAAACGGTTCAAACATTTACACAAAATGAGCCGTGATGGGGTCCGTGTGTGCCAACGCCAGCCTTTGAAGCAGTTGAGATGATCCACATCCAAGAGTAGTATTTTTATGTGGATACTCAGCATCCACGTGTGGGTTTCCACACCATTTTCTAGGAGCTCCTAGCTCAGCTACTGCTGTTCTTTTTCCCTTACAGCAGCTGTCACTGCATTTGAGGCAGACGACAGCACAAGGTGCGAGAAATCCGCAAGTGTGCTTTTCTCAGTCGTACTGGGATTTAGTAGGCTTGGATGTACTGCTCAGGGAGGCACAGCAGCATTTAGAATAGATTATTTCAGATAAGGACTGACAAAAATTTTAAGCTCTTTATGATATAGGCTAGCTGCCTTTCACAATGTACTGGAAGCAAATGCAGTACCTGGTTTATGGATAGCCTGTGACAATAGCAGCACTAAAATTATTTCAACATTAAACTACATTCTCTACACAGCTGAACATCGTAAAAAATCCCAAACCTAACGCAATCCACTTGCATTATGCTGATGCTATGTTTAAATAAGATATTTGCAAACCTCTGCACAGCTACATGTTGAGGTTCCTTGGCATCTTTGGATTAAAAGAAATTACAGATTAGAAAATGACATTTCTACAGTGTCCCAGCAAATAAGCATCAAGTATAAGGTATTGTAAGGAACCTTTGCTTTGTTTGTTAAAACACAAAACAGTAGGAATTCAAACACTGCTGACAGTCACTTTCATCAAAAAAAGGTAAAGTATCTATGGTCCAAATGGTCCTGCTGACAGCTCAATATCAAAAGGTTCAGATCCCATTAAGTAAGACTGCCACAGAAATTGGAGTTATCTAAAGGTACAGCTACACAACACTAGCTCAGCAGTCTCAAATGGATGCAAACTCCATTTTTAAACAAAACCAAGAGAGAAAATAACTAGTCCACAATGCTGGCAACAGTATCAGATGTGGAATTCTTGAAGCACATTTTCTTCATCATTATCTCCCCCCTCATTATTTCAGGTTTAACAATCTACTGGCCTTTTTCAGATTTCATTGCTTTTGGTTTTTATATTAGTGACCTTGAAGAAATCTGGGGTTCTGTTTTAGTAAATGTCCATTTTTACTTCTTCCTTCAGTTGGACTCTCCCCTCCTTTGAATGAGTACCTAAACTGGTGTCACTGGGCCTTGTCATGACAATCCTGCACTGTGCAGCAATTCAGCTAGTTGGAGCAGTGCATTTCCTACTTGCAGATATTTTTACCTAGGTCCTTAGTGTGAACTGGCAGCTGAAACTACAATAGTAAGTAAGGTTATACCATACTGAACAGTCACTTACTGCACCTCGACTCCACGTACACATGGAGGGCACATCCATAGAAACCAGTTTGCAGGATCATAAACTGGACTGTCACACCACTCGGAGCAGTGTCATGAAAGGATTTACACTGTCTTTTTCAAAACTCTAGAAATTTAAATTTTTCCACGAATTTAATCCTTTCTTTTAAGAAGAGAGAATATCTACTGTCCTTATACAGAGTCCCTTATCTGCAGAGAAGATTTAGTGTTCAGCTAAAAATAGGACTTTTTCGTCGCCCATTATTTTGAGCACGAGGATAATCAAGAGCAGCGTTATGAAACAGAACAAACGAATGTTTATAGGTATTAACATGCATATTTTGGAGGCAGAATACTATGTTAACTTGAGCAGTTCTTAACCAAAGGTCAATCATATTGGCATTACTGCACTTAGTACTAAACTGTACATACTTGTATCAAAATATTTACATCGACGAGGGCGAATTATCTCCTGCGGATCTTGAGAAGCAACAGATGGTGCTGGGTCGTCATTAGATGACTGTGTCTCATCTTCCTGACCTGACGAATCTTTTATGGTCTCTTCCTTAAATACAAGAAAGCAAGCAGAAGATCAGCTATCCCTTGTACGTAGCAAACACTATTTTGGCAATGTTTTTTCCAAAATTGCCAATACATCAAACCCAAGTACCTTTTATCTGACTTTACAGATTGTGGCCTGTCCAGACTGCACCATAACAAATGTGCAAACACATCATATTATTCATTGACCAGGATTTTAACCAGATCCATTTAACAACTCAGACTCTTAACAGACAAATCAGAAATACAAACCACAATTAAATATCAAGCCTAGTTCTTTAAATCAGTTGAGCAAATCCTTGTGGTTTTCATTTAACCGTAAATTTTACTTTGGTCTTTAAAGCTCTTCCTTATGAATTTTCAGTAAAAAAGGGGAGCAGTTATTTACTAGCTAAGCTTTTCTCAATCAAATGGAAACGGTACCTTCCATAAAAAACAATGGCAATAGTGGGGTTCAGCCCCACAGAACAGCGTATCAGTAGACTCAAGGATGTACATCGAGTCATTAAAAGACCAAAAATTAGAACAAGCTTCTTTATTAGATGATGAACCACAACAACTCTGGGAATTATTACAATGAAGGAAAATAAAAATGATAAAGGTTAAAAAAAAATTTGTGTTCTATTTCTATGCATGTTGTCAATCCCTTTGATGTGTTTTATGACTGTGTTGTAAGCAGTCAGACGTGCTAGTTCTAACGCAGAAGCAGTAGGCACAGCACGTGTTTACGTGCACCTTTACCAGCAACCAGAGTATCATCACATGTGCAGCTTAAAGCAGCTTAAAAATAGAAAATAGCTAAGTGCAGTATAGCTAAATAAGCTGCCGAAAGATGAGCACTTACAGAGAAAGCCTGAATGATTTATAAAATTATTCCACCCCCACAGATGCATTTTACTGCCTCTGCTAAGAGCGTGCAAGCGTTCCAGAGCTCTCGTTCTTGTACCCTGAGGGGAACAATCACACCAGGTTCGCTCTCTTTGCCCAGCCCTCCCCACCACCTTTGCTCCAACCCTATCAAAAGTGGGGCAGAACAGTGAACACATCATTCAACCCAGCCACACCACCACGTCTGCAATAGGCCAACCCACGGGCTGCGCTTACGGGGCCAGACTGGGAACTGTGGTTGCCGATGGGCAGGAACGCGCCCGCGTCTGCAGCGCTACGAAGCGTTAGTGCCCTACGGAGGGAGGAGGATGGCTCCTCTTGCTGCCAGCAGCAGTGATGGACGCTGAGATTTTATCCATTTAAGAGAAAAGATAGGCAGCATCTTAAATCAGCTGGTAACGGACCTGGAGAACCACAGAGGAAGGTCACGAGAACACCGAAGATGGAAGTTGCGTCGGGAAGTAATTAAGAAGCAGGGACACAAGACCCTGAGACCTCAGGAACACCACCATGCACAACAAAACAAACCACTTTTGTGTCTTATTTTAATTTTGCATACTTCATGTTATGTAAGTTTCTCCCCTCTCCAATATAACTACATATCTTTCCTCTTTTTAAACTATTCAACCCATACTAACAGCAATCTTTTACAGCATCTGTCAAGGGAGTTTGTAAACCCTAAGAACTTCATTTTCGGAATCAGATCTATCATTCCTCATCTCTGCGTCGCATTCCAGAGATTCTAAAACGGGTAAGATGTCAAAGAACAAAACGCATCCTTTCTAAAGCCAGATTAGGTAATGCAACTTCCATTAATGCCTAAGCTTTTTTGTTACTGACAACACAAAGGGCTTCATGTTTTAATGGAATTCAGGATGCAACTCTGAATGCCACTGGTAATGGAGAAGTTGCAGCCGTGTCCCTGATAAGACAGGCTTGTTACAAATACGTATGACATACACAAGTAGAAAAGACTTCTAAAATCAGAAAATTTATTTTAAGAGCACATAGAACAGGATTTTAAAGATGCCAAGTTCAAAACCATACATTTGTGCAAAGATACTTGAAGCATTAGATTCAGTTAGCAATTTAAGTACAACCAGAGCTGCCAGGCCGAAAAAATATAATTTAAAATGCTAAAGCTAGAAAACTTGCAGCCATCTCCAATTCTGAGAAACACATTTAATTCAATTCCACAATTCACTGTTCAGTTTCAGTAGATCAGCTTTTCATCTTGAAAGAAACATTCAGCCATATCTACAAAGGTGCCTTCAGGCATTTAAAACTTCTGATTTGAAGTCGGACTACTTCTGAAGGACAATTACAGTCCCTCCTTACACGATGCCACACGTGTACGTGGTCTCTAATTTGCCACTGCAGCAGATTGGAATGATACAGAAGAAATTAAGAGCAATGAAGAGAAATACAGATGGGTAACTAAGAGCAAACATTAGAGTTCAGCACATAAAGCATCTGAAATCAATTATATTACGAATTCTGCCATGATCTGCTATCTTGAGTGGCTGTCTAGCACAGAACGGCCGTGTGAAAATCAGTTTCAAGTTAGTGTAAACACTTACTTTGTTTTCACCACTACAGCCACTGTTGTCATCATTATCAACATCATCATCGTCTTCTCCCTCCTCCTCCTCCTCTTCATCATCTTCATCATCATCATCTTCTTGGAGTGGAATGGCACCGTCATAGCCGTAACGGCTAAGCAGCTCCTGGATTGGCATATCACTTTCCTGACAAACATCCAAAGAAAGTTGGAGATTTTAATGAAAATATTTCTTGTCTCACATCTGCTCTACAGCTTAAAGGTGTGCATTTTAAACATAACAGCAAAACCAGAGAGATGATGATCAGGTATACTAAGAATGGTCACCCCACAATGAATGGACAGGCAAAACCAGAAGTTTTGGCTCCTACGAAAAATGTGGGTTTTTATGAAGCTGAACCATTTCCTAGTCATTTATAAATTTACAGCAGACCTCACACACCACCAGCCTCTCAAAGGGGCCACAAAGCTCATTAAATGGGCAACAAAGGGCTTTATGCTGTTGGTATTTGTCTACTACTACTTGACCAAACACAAGCACTGCAATGTGGCAGGTTACGTCTGGTTCCATCATACCCTTCTGGTACACGGAGCGAACACGCTCCTTATTGGAATATACACTGGTATTCCCTTCGCCGCCCAAAAACTACCTGAAAAATTGAGGTATGTTGTACATATTTGTGGAAAAAACAAATAAAACACATGTCAGCAGCAACTGCTTCGCACAGACAGCTGAGATACTGACAGTTTTCGCAGGCAGGAGCTTGTCCTGGTGCAAGGCAGTGATTTTTTGCCATGTCTCCAAGAATTCAGCAGAATAAGGACCAGAACTTGCAGCACCTGGCTTGAATGTGGACTTTAATCTTCATCTGGGGAGCTGCACTACAGGGACAGCTCTATGCAGTTCTGCAACCCTGGCTTTGATTACAAAATTACACCAAAAATGCACCTCTCCGTGCTTCTCCCCTTTCGGGGAAAAACAAAAAACGAGGAGTTGGATGGGCGTGAGGGATCACCCTATATTTGGGACCACCCTATATTCACAACCCCCTGATATCCAGGTAAAGACAGCAGTAATTTTACAGATTCATATACTTTTCAAGCTATTTGTCTACAAAACCACCCACGGTTGGAAGGAAATCTGCTGAAATACGTGCACCTTTAAAAATCTTTATGTTAAGAATGCTGCTGCACTCTGAAGAGACATTTCAAATGACACAGTCAGTTCTCAAATTCAGTGGCTACCAAACTGTTATTAATTGCATTGATTTTATTAATAAACATTATTAATTGCTGGGTCTGCAAACTACTTACTTTTATTACTTCTAATTCCTCAGAATCCAGCTCTCAGGGGCAGTATATGGCATCCCTAAAGAGATTTTCCAGGGCAGAAACTTTCAGAGGGCATTTTAAAATTCTCTCTCTCACAAGAGCAAATCCTTTGTTTACTATTTAGAGGTGTCTGCCTGCTGTAAATATTTCCTCTCCGCATGTAATGTACATCTGGACTGATAATCAGGTTCTTTTAGTTACCAGCTGACCTTAGACCTCCTCCAATTAACTCCTTTCCTAAGGCCCTTCATTATCAACACATCTCCAGTTTCTGGAAATGTAACAATATCAATTACAAAAGGCATAGTTAGTTCTGCTGTGTAAAAATAAGAGTAGCACAGGGGTCACCAGTACTTGCTGCCTGTGTATTTTTATTTTATTATATTTTATTTTATTTAACTTCAAAGAGCTAAGCCATTCTACCACTTATTGGTCTACTCTTTGGTTAAGCTATCTACACAGTAGATGCAGACCACGTGGACCTAAATGTCTCCACCTTCCCTCTTGACTTCTTGGTCCCTATTGTATCGTTTTATGGAAAGACCTCTTTGAAGTGGGGAATTAATATTTTACTGACACAGGCAACATGACAGGACTGTGATCTTAATTAAAACCTGACAGTAGAGCCATCAGAAAAATCCTGTTTGTAATTATCCAAACAAACGTTCTCCAGTACATTTTGGAAAGCAATGTACTTTCATTAAGCACTCCTCACCACTATCCCATAGAGACTGAGAATTAAAAAAGAACTTTCACCACAATTCACAGGGATGTATGAACAATGTAACAGGCATATTACTAGATGTTACCTAGGAAAGTGGTATTGTATTTACAACATTTTTCTTAGACAGAGCCTCTTAACTTCAAATAGTCCATTATAATTCAAAACGCCCCCAGGGTCAGCAGCTCTCCAAGATAAAATAACACAAATCATGATTTCTGTATTGTTTCGGGATATTGCAAAAATAGAAAAGGTTAAAAAAGTAACAAGTCTTATCAAAGACACAGACACTTCTTAGGTGGAAGATGTTTAATAACGAGAAATGAATTATAACTCGTGTGTCTGGAGCAGAGGTAAGTGAGGGGGAGTGATGGAACAGAACTGCATCACAAGCAGCACAGAGAAGGCAAACACAAACGACCGCACACTCTGCTCATGGAAGAGCTGAGGGGCAACCACTGAAATACCAAACACGTTTCTCACATTAAACAAACTGCACGACTTTACAGAGGTTAAAAATAAAATGGACAAATCCAAGGGAGGAGGAAAAATAAGACTGACAGGCATTACAAAGAGACAACATCTTTTTCATACGTGCCTGAACCGCACCCTGCTAGAAGCTGGAAGGGTACTTGGGAGAAACACTGCATGCTTCCATGTCTGGTTCTCTCATTTAAAGACAAGAGGATGTTGGCACATAACCCTAAGAAAACCCCAAAGCCCTCCCTGAAAAGGGGGACCCCAAAAGGAGAAACCAAGTGATTATATGGAACAACAAATGGAAAAAGGAAGGGAGTCAAAGCTTAGAAACCTGTAAGTAAGGCAGGGAGGCACCACGCACAGCACCCTGGCAGTGCCCACCACTTCCAAGAGGCACCCAGGAAGCCAGTGCTCACCGCCCAGCAGTGCTCTGGCAGCACAGAGGTAAAGAACTTGGCCTCACGCTCCCCAAATCCTCCGTGTCACCCTCCCTCCAGCTGATGCTCTGTACAGCCAGCTTAGGTAAGAGTTGGAGGAAGCTGACTTTCTGCAACTTGCTGGGACATGGTCATTTATTGTTTCCAAGACAAGAGGGTGAATGCAGTTTCCTACTACCAAAATTACGCTGCCAACTTTCCTGTGTTTTGGAAAACTGCAGTGTCGGCGTATGCCCAGGATGCCGAGAGATGTGCCTCATCCCAGGCACACCTTCCTGAGCTGAAGAAGGAATACTGGTTAGCCAGGACTGGTATGGATGTGCCCACATATGAAAATAACATTACTGAGCACGTGCCTGGATATGATCAAGGACAGTCTGCTGTACCACCTCGCAGAGATGGCTTTCCTGCCCAAGAAAAACTCTTACCTATCAAGAAATACCACTGAGAACCACCAAATCCAACACTTCTGATTCCCTTCAGGTACTGCTCTGCTCTCGGGGAACTGTGTTTTTTCCTGTACTAGAGCAGCACAGAGGGCGACTTTCTCTAGACACAGACACGCTACAGCCATTTAGACAAAAACTCGCACACGTAACGCACAGATAAATGCAGGACGCTGCTCCACCTCGAGTACTACTGCGTTACAGATCCACCAGAGCTTCAACCAACGAGGAGAGAAGATCCTTACCCTCAGAGGATGGTGTAATTTTTTACAACAGTCAGGAGTGAAACCATTAAGGTTCAAAAACGCTTTTGCAAAACCCGACTGCCACCTCGTCTCTGAAGGAGCTGAACTGGTAAATCAGGCACATTCACAGCCTGGGGGAAATCTGAAATGACATGTGGAAATGTCGAGGGAAAGGAAAAGACAGGATAGCACTAGCCTTGACAACAGTTTTGAGATTCAGATTGCCTATTGACTGAAAAAAAAGAGATGAAAGTGAGCCTTGATGTCCAGCCTGCTATCCCAGAACTCGGAGTAACTACCGGTCTCTAGCAAGGACCTGCTGGCATGGCAGTATCCGAAACTCCGTCAGCACCCCACCTGCAACACCCGTACAAACTGAGGGTAAGATTCTCTGCCAGTCTGTAAAAGCATCCTGCAGGGAAGAGTGGCACATGGAGCAACGTGAATCCGAGTTCAACTCTGCTCACCGTCCTGACAAAAGAGCTGACACGTGGAGAAATTATAAACTTGCAGCCCCGACAAGCAAGGTATGAGGGAATAAACTGATGGCTGAAGTACGGGGATAAACGAAGCGTCGCGATGTGGTGACACAATTACACAACCAGATGTTGACTCTTCACAAAATACGAGGGGGAAAAAAAAAACATATTTTCAACTTAAAACCTACATGATGTACATGTGGAGCTCCACTTCACATTTAATCTAGATGAAGCATATTTAGATTTACAAACTATTTATTCATCTTTATGTTTACCATTTAATATCAAACTTGAAATTACCAGAAAGAAATTATCATTTACACTCAAAACGTAGATTAAATGCAATAAATTAATTTAAAATCATATTGACATAATCACTTATACTAAATAGGATTTGTACATCGAATATGCATCTGAGAATCATTCATGATCTGTTCTGGAAGCGTTTCAGCCAGCGAGGCCACAGACAGCACCTAAATTACTTTGCATTTATAATGAACCTAGTTGGTTATTTAAGAATATTACTCCTGCCTGGGAAGTAATTTAAGACAATACATAAGTGACAGCATAACTTCAAAATGCCAAATAAATCTTAGATGAAATTATTTCAGAAGATAGACATTTTAAGATTTATTTCTCACTATTAACAATAATTGTGAGTTCTGAACCCAGCTCTGCTGACAACTCTCTGCTTTCAGTCAATTGTTTCATCTGCATCTCCGTCTCCTCTCCCTTAAAAACGAAGATGCTCCTATAGGCTCCACGAAAGCATTATACAAATGTTTGTATAAAAACGCAAAAGAAATCTAAAATTACAGGATTTAAAAAAAAAAAAAAAAAATCTAAATGCACTAATGAAGTGCGAGCGCTTTAGAAAATAACAACACTGGAATATACAAGTTTAGTCAGAGCGTACTTTAACTTATATCAGCACTGAGGTGCAAAAAAAGCATTATAAAATGTTTGTATAAAATGCAAAAGAAATCTAAAATTACGGGATTTTTTTAAAAAAATCAAAATCTAGAGGCACTAATGAAGTGCAAGCACTTAGAAAATAACACTGGAATATACAAGTTTAGTCAGAGCATACTTTAACTTATATCAGCACTGAGGTGCAAATCCTGTACCAGCACACATATGCAAAAAGAAATTAAACAACCAGTGTTACATATTATTAAGAATTTATGTACCAGTTTCCTTTTCCCAACTTTTGAGAACTGCAAATTTAGCTCAGCCCCTCTCCCCGTTTATATTATTTGTCTATTACTGGTTTAGGGGTGTTTTTTTTTTTTAAATTCCAAATATAAGGGAGAAAACTTGCATATGTTTTGTGAGAGACTGCAGGCTGTGGTTATGTTTTATGACTACTTAAGGCTACCTACCCTGTTAAGATCCTCTATTTCAGAACTGAAGTTTGTTTCTCCTTCCATCATTTCCTCCTCTTCTAATGTCCGTTCATCATCAAAGTCATGCACCAGCATATCAGCTGATGGATCAAATTCATGGTCATCAGATGTTGCTGAACCTCCTGATAGAAAACATTTTAAAGAATGTTTTTAGTTAGATCATGGCCTCACAGAGTTTAATTTTTTATTTTGGTGACATTTTAATACTCAAATTATACTGAGAAATTAAAATATCTTCAGAATCCCTCAATCATTTATCTTAGGGAAAGCCAATCTCATTATTCAGGAGAGTGAAAGCTGTCCTTTGGGTGGTAAGAGATCATGGAAAAAAGAACCAGGAGATACTGTTTAACCAGCCAGTTTTCAAAGCACTATATAACTGGACATCGGGCCCCTAGTTAAATGTTTGTAAAACGTTCAGCTTTTGAAGACTTAATTCCTAAATAATCATAAACCTGTCTGAATCAAGACTTCTACTGGGAGCAGAAATAATCATAAAATATAAACTCAGGGCAGCTGATTCCTTGATACTTGGCAAACTTTCTTGTTTACAACTACAAAGACAGTCTGATGACTTTTCCAAAATTTAAACCTTGAGCTTCACAGCTATGCAGATTTTATTTATGATGCAGAATCCTTAGTTATTTTTCCCCATGCATTTTTTCCACAGCTCTGGTTATATTTTATGGCAATGAAAAATAAATGAATGGATGAATGGCTCAGCAGATGCGGCGTTTTTAGGTCATTCAGCAATACCTGATTTCTAGTTCTAACCCTGCAAACGTTCTTCCACTTGTCTCCATGGACAATTTAAATTTCATTTCCCAAAGCTTGAAGAGCATACCCACCCTAAGGGTGCAAGAGGGAGGGGTTGACTGTAAGGGTTAACCATACTTTGCAGTTTGAAGCGTTAAAGCCATTGATAGTTTCTCTGAAAGAAATCAGAGCTCAAGAGACAACAGCAGTCCAGGTAAAGTAACTACTGGAAAGCTTTTCCACGAGGATGCCAAAAACCTTGGAATTAAATAACACTAAGTACAGTGGTACCAAAGTGAACAAAAAGCCCCCAGATATTAAAACTTTATGCTTAGGCTGACTACTATACAGCCAGTAGCTCTGGGATACCAGAATGTGAGAAAATGATCAGCTTTAAAAACAGAAGTCATGAAACCCCTCATTTCTAGTAATCTAATGAGGCAAAAATAAATTTCACTTTTCTTGCTACCTTTGTTCTTGATGCGATTTTGCACAAAAACATACAGCATACATCTACTGATTGAGAGCACATGGCCTGAACTTTAGGCTCTGTAGTCAACTCTACCACCAACAGGTAGCCATGCCCAGAAGGGTGGCAATCATGTCCTTGGTTAAAGTAGTCTCTTCCAAGCCCCCAGCACTCACTCACGCTGTGCAGGATCCTTAGGACATCAGCATTCCCGAACACCGGTCGTCCAGCTTTGGCAAATACAAGAATCCTACTTCCCCAGTGTATTTTACCATTTAGAATCTTGTGTGCTGGTACAGACTGGAAGAAAGCAGTGACTGCTCAAACCAGTACTGCCACCAGCCTGTTCATCAAGTTATATTCTTAGATTACTAACTGGAAGGGACCGGTAAAAATAATTTTTCAAGGGTGCCCTCTTCCCTCACAAGTTTAGGAAATATTAAAAATATTTACCTGGGCTTGAAGACTCAACAGAAGGCTAAAAAAGAAAAGACAGGAAATTATATTTTCTATGTTGAACCTGTACAAACTCAACTCAATAATTCATCTGACACAAAGCAAGTCACTGCAAAAAATATATTTACAAACAAAGCACCACCAACACGCTGAAGCAATTTAAGGTAAATAGTATTCATTTTCTCCTGTCTGTAGCAAGATCACTGCACTATTTCAGCAAGAGTAATTGGAAGAACTGCTCGTTCCGTGATGCAATAATTGAGCTGAAAGTATAAAATACAGCAAAACGATTCTGAACATAGTATCACAATTTCACAATCGGCTTCGTATGGCATAAATCGGTGCTACTGCCAGGTGAGGCACTGCTCCTTCCTCTCCATCTCTACCTGCTCATTTCCAATTCTCCCTTTATGCCGACACAAAACTGAAAGCAGCAGCAGTGATAGGTTAATTTTTAACAGATCCAGCTCTCTAACTCCGTGTGCTAAATCCCCTTTTGCACAACTAAGGTGTATACCAGATTGCATTGACACTGGAAGCGCAGTTTAAGAGAAATTAATTCTTCCTGTTTGAAACTCCACGCCACGCAATCCACAAATTCCCTGTTTCTATTTAAATTAAGGTACGCACTTTTAAAAAGTAATCACAATCACAAATCACAATGAGGATTCCTCAAAGAACAAAAGGAAAAGCAATCTAATCTTAATCTCTAACCCAGCTGTGAGGAAAAAAAAATAAATTATTTTGCAAGCCAGACTTTCTTCCCAAGTACATTTATAATACAAATTAATATGATCACGGACTACAAAACAAACACATTTTTTGAAATATAGGGAAAAAAAGAGACATCCACAACAATCTTTCTGTAATAAGAGATACCCTTTGGCCTACCATATTTGTAACCTTACACTTATAATCAGAACAAACGTCATCTTTCATAAAATTCTGCTTTCCCTTGCTTATAACTTTGCCAGTTTTTAACCTCTCAGGGTGAAATTTGCATGTCAGACATGCAAACCTCATTTGTCTTGAAAATTCAAGCAAATGTGTCAACTATCTTTGGGAATTCGGGAACAGACCTAATGAATTGGTTTTTTCAACGTTAGGAAGACTGACTTTGCACCTGGGAGAGCTGCAGTACCCCTTTTCCTGCCATCTTCTGGAAACAGACATATTGCTTGGTACCACAGATATTGTTGTATTCCACCATATACAATGCTGTCTCCATGAAAAACTGCCTGCCAAGAAATCATCTGGAAAACTTCAATTTGCACATTCAAGATAGATACTTATGTGTATGCATAATGCTATATCTAGGTTGCACTCCTACCTCAATTTCAAAATCTGTACAATCAGAATTACATGCAAAATTAAACCAAGATATTATGTTAGAAATTGGTGAATTTAAACTCAAGTGAAAACTTGTACTGTTATTCCAAGATTTTCTTAATCTCATCTCATAAGGCCATGCAGTCACTTGCACCGGACACTTCCACCCAAAACACCTGGCCTAGCTACGTAGCGAAGTAAAAACTATAATTAAAAAAACCACAACTGTGTAATTTTAAAGTTCTTTTATATTAACAGTTCTTAAAAGTGAGAAGAAACACAGCTTCTTGGGAATCACTGACCAAAATTCATACATGTCTGTCTAATTTTTACAAGAGTCTACAAGGAACAAATGAAAACTCAAAATACATTTGCCCGTGTCAAGCAGAAAGGAGTGCTCAAAGCTAAAAACAAATCTTCAATATTTGCCTGAAAGGTGGATAGAAGATACAATGGACAAGAAGTTTTGCTCTCCTACCATTGTACAGCCTAAAAAAAAATACAAAAAATAAACTGTGTCCAGGAGACACTACAGTTTAAAAATCTTTCTCTGCACAGATTACCTTCACGAATTCCAGTGCACAGTATTACTGGTGTATAGTGAACTAAAGCTGAGTACCCCAATCGGCCAACAATGGCTGGTCTCTACCTTGTGTGTTTTATTTGTCTGATAAACTCACAGAACTGGGTAATACACAATTTTTGGTGCGAATTAGCACTTAGCATATTCATTGCAGCAATCACAGGTGTGAAATCAAACAGTAAAACTGCTTATTTCTGGTAGACAATGCTGAGAATAAGGTGGACAATACTGCAAGGCAAAAATAAGAAAAAGACAAACATCACTAAGAAGCATCTCAGAAAGCTTTAGAATAAAGACTAAGCCTTAATAATTATCTCATAATAAATAAGAAAGAAATTACAGAATGGTTTGGGTTGGAAGCGACCTCAAAGCTCATCCAGTTCCAACCCCCCTGCCATGGGCAGGGACACCCTCCACTACACCAGGTTGCTCAAAGCCCCATCCAACCTGGCCTGGAACACTGCCAGGGATGGGGCAGCCACAGCTTCTCTGGGCAACCTGTCCCAGTGCCTCACCACCCTGAGGGAAGAATTTCTTCCTTAGATCTCATCGAAATCTGCCCTCTTTCAGTTTAAAGCCGTTGCCCCATGTCCTGTCACTACACACCCTTGTCCAAAGTCCCTCTCCAGCTTTCCTGTAGCCCCTTTAGGCACTGGGAGGCTGCTGGAAGGTCTCCCCGGAGCCTTCTCTTCTCCAGGCTGAACAGCCCCAACTCCCTCAGCCTGGCTCCAGAGCAGAGGTGCTCCAGCCCTCAGACCATCTTCGTGGCCTCCTCTGGACCCGCTCCAACAGCTCCATGTCCTTCTGATGTTGGGGTCCCCAGAGCTGAACACAGTATTCCAGGTGGGGTCTCCCAAGAGCAGAGTAGAGGGATAGAATCCCCTCCCTCGACCTGCTGGCCTAACCTCTTCTGAGGGACAGAACACGTTACTTCATAAACAAGAAATTCTGCAAACGCCATCTTGAAACTGTTCTTTCTGCCCAACCATTAAAACGTGTCATCATTGGAAGGCTCCTGCTGACAAAAAAAAACATCTTTCCAAGATACAACCTGTACTTACTCACGACTATTTTCTCTCTGGTTATTTTTTGATATAACAGAGGCATTTCAAGGGGGGGCTCACTTGGGAAACAGTTTGGATATGGATCGCAGTGGTGATCCATGGGGGAATCCCAGCTGGGGCAGGTGGAGCCTCTCCTTGCCCATTCACCTGCTTTACCCCAGCCCAACCTGGGGAGGAAAGTCCTGGGGAAAGGCCTCAAGTCAGAAGGAAAAGAATGTAGAAAACAAGTGCATGAACCAGAGATAACCGGAGTGTCACGGAGCCGTGCCTCCAAAACCGAAGAAACCAGGACGGTCAGTGAGAAGAGGCTCGTGGTATAATTATACTTGTGTCCAGAAAAATAACTGTGACTCAAAACACAGGAGCACTTGTGGAAAGGCCAAAATAGCTGAGGCTGATTTCTTCACAGCACCATGAGCCAGGGCAGGGGTTCTCAGGGAGAGCAGCACTCACTTTTCCATGAATTAAGGATGGCACGAGTTCCAGCAAACAGGATCCAGCACGGCGGAACGGATGCAGTTCTGCCCTCACGGGAAAACTCCCCAGCCTCAAAAGCACAGCTTTGCTTTCAGCCACCATTAGGCATTTGCCAAAAGCCAGAAAAACCTGCAGGAGACCTCGTGGTCCGTGAACCTTGTGCGAAGGGGAACAACCAACTCCCCACCTCCATTTGGAAAAGTGGGTTTCCTATGTCGAGATCCTCAACAAGCAGAACAGGGTCATAGAATCATGGAATGGTTTGGGTTGAAAGGGACCTCGAAGATCATCTAGTTCCAACTCCCCTGCCATGGGCAGGGAAACTCTCCACTACACCAGGTTGCCCAAAGCCTCATCCAGCCTGGCCTTGGACACTTCCAGGGATGGGGCAGCCACCGCTTCCCTGGGCAACCTGTTCCACTGCCTCACCACCCTCAGAGGGAAAAATTTCTTCCTTGTATCTAATCTAAATCTCCCCTCTTTCAGTTTAAAGCCATTGTCCCGTGTCCTGTCACTACACGCCCTTGTAAAAAGTCCCTCTCCAGCTTTCCTGTAGGCCCCCGAAGCCATGCAGCATCCTTCGGATTCATATATACCTTGCACGGTTTTATATACATGTGCATTGTGCATAGATATTTATGTGATATACATGTTGGAGCCTGTTGTTTGAACCCCACTTGAAGTTTCTGTCACTCTTTACAAGTTTTCAGGATGGAAAAGGCATAATTCTCGTCTTCAAGGACAAGGATCCAGAGAACTAGTGGCCAGACAGCCTCACTCCCACCCCTGGGCAGGCAATTGAGCAAACACAAAGGAGGAAGAGGAGGTGATGGGAGCAGTCAGCATGGATTTACAAAAGGGAAATCACACCTGACCAGCCCGAGAGCCTTCCTCGATGAGAGAACTGGTATGGTGGGTGAGGGGGGCACAGGGGATGCTGCTTGTCTCCACTTCAGCAGGGCTTCCCACGCCATCTCCCGTAACACCCTCACAAACTGATGAAGCACAGCCTGGACAAGCAGGGATGTGGACGGAAAACTGGCTGAACAGCCCAGCTCCAAGGGCTGGAAGTGAGTGCAGGGGGCAGAGCCCAGGGGTTGAGGCTGGGGCTAATACTGTCCAACGGCTTCCTTAGGGACCTGGACAGCGGGACAGAATGCACCCTACGCCCATCTGCAGCCAACACGCCATGGGCAGGAGTGGTGTATACAGCAGATGAGCGCGCTGCCAGTCAGAAGGATCTCAACGGGCTGCAGAAACAGGCCAGCAGGAACCTCAGGAAGTTCAATGGAGAAAGGCAAAGTCCTTCACCTGTGGGTGAATCACCTCCCAGCACAGGCACCTGTAACAGGCTGCTCAGGATCTCATCCAGGCAGGTTTTATAGACCCCTGGGGATGGAGACTCTCCAGCCTCCCTGGACAACCTAGTTTCCGACCACCCTTAAAATAAAAAAGTTTTTTCCTTATGTTTAACTGGAATTTCCTGGTTGCCAATGTGAGCCCATTGCCTCTTGCCCTGTCCCTGGGCACCACTGAGAGCAGACTGGCTTCCTCATCTCTACTCTCCCATCA